CACTATTGTTTCCCTGTGAAATTGCCTTCTTGAATTCTTTTAGTCTCCGTTTGAGCAAAATGGTAATAGCTAAACACCCGTGAAATAGTTCTCTGAACAAAGCCCTTCACTTGGCGAAGTTCCTCATGAGCGCTGTTGCCTCTTCTCTGATATCCAATGCAATCAAAAAGTTTTATTTTATAGTTTTTAACAAGACTTGCAAAACAAAATGCCTGATTTTAACCGTTAAGTTTGATGAGGGCCAAACTGAATGAATCACATACACTCTCTCCCCTATCATCATACCTTTCCATTTATGCAATAATCCCCGGCAACTGGAAAAGCCAAATTGTCAGTGAATTCACCATAATTAAATTCATTCAATTACAGTTCGCCGTGATGGTCAAGGAGACGACAAAGATTTTGTTCTTACGAATGACATCCCCGAAGGTATGGAAATGAGTGACAAGTAATGAATCCCCGTCCTTTGAGTGTAAGATCAATGTTATTAGCAACTTAAGAAGCCTTCATCACTCCCAGTTCCCGCCTGCAGTATCCACTCGTCTTCTAGGCGTTAGCGGGCAGCTTCCACCGGGGGTGTCCTCAAATGAGCATTATTGTGATGATGATGATGATGATTATAATGGTCACTTTTTTTTCCTTTTGACTTTGTTAATTTGATTGTTCTTTCGTTATATTAGACTTCAAGCTCGCCGACTTTCCATATGATGTCGAGGATTCTATTCTGCGACTAGATTCTGATTCCTCGCCAGTTCAAAAGAACTGGAAACATGTCGCTTACGGGTATGGAATTATCAATCAAGACATTCAGGTGTTGGAGATAGAGAGCAGGAAGCCAGGAGTAAGCGCAATAAGGCTTTTGATGGGAAAGTTGTGCAGTTCCAAATGTGCGACTCTAAAAGAGTTCGTAGACGTCCTCCAGGAGCTGGAACGCAATGATGTTGCCAACGACATTATCAGCTGGTTTAGGAAAAAACAGGACAGATGTCCAGAGGAGGGTAAGAATTGACAATACCCAGAAGACTGTTGGGTGTTTCTTTAATATCAGTGACAGTTGAGAGTTATTGAGTCGGTCATGTAAATAACGTAACTGATTTTGTGTATTTAGTAAAATCAAAGTGATCTGGACAAAATTTTTGGAAAGTAGGGATACACGTTGTTTGAGAGATTTTGTTTTAAGATTAGACTACAGGATCTTTTTAAACAGGTGTTTTGAAGATTTAGGCAATTTTTGTATTGAAATTTATATTAGGTAGTTCGGTGAAAATTTTACATAATTTTTCTAGGTTTTTGTAACCTTTTTAACCTTTGCTCTTAGTTTTAAAGTTGTATATAATTTTAGGTAACGCTCTTAAGTGCAATTGAGGACGAAGTTTTTTTAATGTTGTGCATGGTCAGAGTTTCTTTATTGCAGGAAAATGTGCCGTTATCCTTTATATCTGAATGTTTCACATTTCAAACAGGCCAGTGGTATAGAACACGGAAGGTTGTCGGAAGTTATCTTTCCTTATAGTATTCCTTAATTTCGGTTTTCAATTTACTATGAGAGGCTGAGAAAATACTGCGGCCTAATTCACTTGGCATTGCTTGATCTCACATTGAGAAGAAAGTAAGCACTGCGTGCTGAATCTATTTTAACAGGGATATTTTCGATATTATGCATGCTCTGAAGTCATCCTGTATGATGTGACCAGCCGAAGTTTTAAACTTGGCTTAGTCAGATTAATTACTTTTCCATCGAGTGTCGAAGTAACTTGATTTGTTGATATTTCATTGTGCCGTCGAGAAATTCGCACCACAACATAGCCAGATGCAAAACTGAAACCAATCGCGAATTAGTAAAAGGAATTTTTCCAAGAGCACAAAGCAGCTCTCATGCGTTAATTTACAGACTTTAAGCTCTCTCACAGGTTTCTCAGTTATAACGTTTAAATTAAAGTTGTTTGATTGGCCACTGTGAGTACTTTGCTTTTGAATTCACGACCCGCAATTAAAGAGTTCCTTCCCAATGATAAATTCTGAGGTAGTAATGAGTCTTGTATCATTGTAGTTTATCTTTTTTAGTTAAGTATTGGGGCATAGCTCGATGACGTTTCCTGGGGTGCTTCTCCTGAAACTCCTATGTGAGGTTACTTTTTTAAAAATATTTTTTGCTATCAATTCTGTACAAAACTTATATTTAAGGTTTTCAAAACAGACAAATCCGAGGAAACCTTTAAAAATCCAAGCTACGCCCCAGTTGTAACCTGTGCTTGCCCGTATCCGCTTTTCCAATCAAGATTCGGGAACTGGCAATTAAATATTGGTGGGCAACTTAGGTAGTCATGCCCTTTGAAAAAATGGTAATCAGCACTCTAAGATAAAATAGTAAACTTGTATAGACGCAACGAAATATTTTTGTTTATGAGTTGGGTAGTAAACCATTAAATGCTGAAAAAAACTATCTTGGCTGTAGTTTGGAGTCCTCTTTTGTGGTAAACGAGAGTAGAAAATCTTCAGGGCACAGAAATTAAAGAAAAAGAGTGAATTAATCACTCCTGAGGTAACAGCCCGCTTGTAGGGGCTCGCTCGATATTTTTTAACGTGACTCAGCAAAACTTGGGCTGGCAGAAGTCGTCGAGGTAGCGTGAGGTTAAAGTTTCCGGAAAATAAAAGCTGCAAATAGTCGTTCTCCTATTAGGCCAATTTTACTAACTAACCCTTAGACAGTGTAATTCTAAGAAGGAAGCCCTGGGCATCACCCAGGTACCTCATGATAGACGTTTTGATTCACTAATAGGAAATTGGTCAAACCTTTCTCCGTTGTCGTGGTAAAGTCATAAGATAGGAATTTTACACAATTCGCAACAAAAAGAAATTCACGATAGAGGCCTGTGGAGCATCTTTATCCCGGAGAGGGGTCAGGCATTGCACTAACTAAGTCTTGGACACACGTTAACTTCGTAAGCCTCTTCGCTCGTATTTTCAAAGTTTTACATATTGCCCAATTTTTGAAAACTGTGAAAATGCGCGCTGAATCAACCTTAAATATCTCTCGTGTCCATGCGAGTTGTGCAGTCAAACTATCGAAGGCTGGCGAATCAGTGATCTTGCAGTAATTTCAAAATAAATAAAAAATGCTTAATTGGCATGAAGTTACCTTCAGTTCCCTGTTTCAGTAATGGCCGCGGTGAAATCTATACCTCTCTCCGCAACTGATTTAGAAGCTTACAGTGGAAAAAAGGGACTCAGTAACAACAATGCTGATTAATAGTTTTTGGTCGACCCTGGCGAGAGTCACCGACGACTTCAGACGTACCTAGTTCTGATAATTACACTTTGAATGTCACATTATGTAAATGTTTCTTATCAAGGTAGAATTGAATCTCAATTCCCGGGTTGATACACATGCATATGATAGACACCAAATCTATGTAGGATCGTTCTTTCTTTATTCCTTTGTCTTATATCAAAGCAGTCAACTAAAATTATTGCATCAAGGAATAACTTAAGTATTGTGTGATCTTAGCTTAAAGAATAATCTCAATTTTGGAAACGAGCTTTTGGCAATTAAAGGAACCAAAATAGAGAGATAAAAACTAGTAACAAGTTTCGCTTTGAATCACAACTACCGGGTAACGTAAGCACAAAATAAGTTGTTGCTTAGCAACCTTGGCGGGTGTTGATTACTTTATCAGGTGTTCCGGTATAAGACCTGTCTTCTATTCCAGAAACGATCTTGATTACACGGAGTCTTATCCTGAACTGAAACGCTAGCTACAATTTTCAGTCTAAAGGCACTTATCACGGACGCGTCAATCAAACCAGTTAATATTTCGGAGCTTCGCTCGGAAGCGGTATGATATTCAGCTTTACGGAAGCGGTCACGCAATATTTATCTTGCAGTTAATTGATTCTTCAAATGCATTTGCATTTGAATGATGAAACAGTGCAATTTTTTGTCTGCTTCCAAAACTGTGTGTGACCTCACTCTAAGAGAATGGAGTGGTTCAGATCGAAGATGATCGAGCCTGTCCTCATCTCGAATGTTCTTTGGCCACTGGTATTTCGAGACTCAGCATCACCATCTTTCTTCATGTCAAGTATCTTTTAATGTATAATACAAGGCAACATTTTGATTCCTAAGAGATGCAATGTAATTTAACTCAGAAATTCGTGGGCTAATGAGTCACGTAGTGGCGTCTGAATATATTGATGACGTACTTGTTTTTTCCGTTTTGCTCGTTATAAAAGACTGTCATCTACGGCTAACATGCCGTATTTCCTGAGTTATCAACTTATTGTTAGGAAGCATTTTGTCGACGAAATTATTCGCCTATCGACATTGATGTGAAGAAATATACAAGCTAAGCCGTATACAAACGGTAGGGTAGCCATTGCTCATCCTCGAATTTTGCAGTTGCTTAGTCAACATACGAATAACTCTGGCAGACTTTTAGCAAAGTTCGACTAAGCATACGTGCTTATTTCTTTTCACAGGGCAACAAAAGAAGCGAAAATAACAATGGTGGCATGAAGCCTATGAAGAGCGCCATAAAGGTGAATATTTCCAAATACTCTGTTCCCTGCAGTTCGTACGCACATCAGTATTCCTGTAACCTTTTTCGCACTCTTTATCCAGTTTAGATTTCTTGAAGAAGTTTAGAACACATAGCATATGGACTTCATAATGTCATTGATCGATTCAGTTTGTAAACAGTCAACGAAGATTCGAAGTTTTTGTTTTACATCAGTCACTGCCGATTACGTACACAACAGTTTGACTGGTTACCTCGGTGGCAAGATTGGCTAAAAGAGATCATATTTAGATTAAATTTTTTCCGATCAAAATTTTCGACTCGAGACAAATTGCCGAATGCAACCGTACTTATTTGGGTATTATGTCGCAGTTTCTTAAATTTTTTTTATCAAAATTTTTTACTTCTCTTTAATTTCAGCTGATCTTGGTGATAGTCTTGTGGTCACAATCTGTGTTAGGACGTTCCACAAGATGTCCTTTGATGGAAAACTTCCTGAAATACTACCCGGATGATCCGGAAGCTCAAACGGAGTGTATAGCGTGTCCTGAATGCCCGCCAGGACTAGGACTTGTGCCACAATGTGGTTCCAAGATCACTAACTACACCACTATTAAATGCGAACCATGTCAACTGAATAAGACATTTTCAGACAATCATGGCTTTGAGAGTTGTAGGTCCTGCCACGACTGTGGCTTAAAGAACGTTATTCAGCAGTGCACCCCGTCTCAAAATCGTAAATGCGGCACCAAGTGCCCTGAAAGACATTACCTCGACGAAAATGGTTTCTGTCAAGAGTGCTACTTTTGTTGTCCCAGTGTGGACGAAACAGGTAGAATGAAGAAATGTAAAGAAATTGGAATGGGAGAAGACTGGCAGTGTCTTAAGAACGACCAAAACAAGCTCTGCAAAGAAGCTTTGGAAAATTCTACAGAAGCTAGTGTTCATACAACTAATGCCACGGCTGTTACTCTTCTTCCTGGTCACAATTTTGAAGCAAATGAAACGGAGAGTACTTCTAATGATAATGTCAGGAAACCTACGTCATCATCTGAAAATTTTACATCAAATGGAAATATAAAACCTTCAGTAATAGCTGGGATTATCATACTGATTGCTTTAGTGCTTATTTTTGCTTTTTATGGAGTTAAAAGAATCATTACATATAGGAATGGTTCAGCACTGTATTCTGAAGGTAAGAGAGAGTCATACCTTGCAACACTGTTGTTATCTTTTTTGAGGATAGTATTTTAGGAACTGAATTCCTATTGCAACCAACACAACATGATATTGTAGCAAAAACCGATAAGTTATGCTCATGCAGTAGTTTCTCACTAGTTGTCAATAGACAACAAAATCTGAGGGAAGAGAGGTCAATAGCGGAACTGTTCTCTGTATGGGTGGTTAGTCTTTCACAAACTTCGGCATGGTACTCAGTTAACAGTGATGATAGCTTACATAGTGCTGGAGTGACATCTGCACCAAAGAAAATTCAGCTTAAGTTACTTTGAGCAGCAAATAAGTACACTGTCTTGAGTTATCATATACTGACAGATGTAAAAAGCCTCACACTCTTCGCTAGGATTTCCCACAGTTATTAGCTTTTTTAGACCCCTATTCATGGTTGACCTCATCATGGCCGTATCCTTTTTAAAACCAGTGGTTGTGGGCTAAGCTAAAAGAGATAAGGGTCGGTTATTTTCTAGACTTTTGAATAATTGATAATTCTTTTCTCGCAGATAATCGAGTAGATGAGCAGGAGCAGTTTCTCCTTGGACAACCCATGAATGATAGCCCAAATATTGAACTCATTCCAACAGGTGAGGAGTCAGCCCTTCCTTCTTCACATTAATCCTTTCACACTCTAACATCAGTATGCATATTCTCCATACTATTCTCTATACATTTCCTAATGTGCTGGCAAGGAAGTTTGTTTAACAATCATGAGATTCTTCAGTTCATTATCATTTCCTTTATTCTCACGACCTTAATGTTTGATTCAGGGGTGATATTGAAATGAGAAATTAGGTGATGCTAGTCACTCTCAGGGATTAAAGAGTTAATCCTGAATTCTCCGAAAAAGAAAATAAATAAGCCGAATTACTCTCCCTCTGTAGTCTTTTAAATGCAAAAACTTTCAGCACAGGCTACTGAAAGTTTTATCGACGTCTCGTTTATCCTTTCGAGATAACACAGTTAGCAATGTTAATGATATTATGTACAGTGATTGTGTGGTGGCGAGAGTTACTCTCAGAGTGAAGGAAACCAGTAGCAGATCACGCATTTTCCTAGCTAAAATTTGCTTATTGTCTTGTTGCAACTTTAATGTTACAAGTAGCAGTTCTCTTTTTAAACTTAACTCTGTTTTTCAGATTGTGATGTCTCCGAAATGTTTACGCTTCGTAATGGAAATGAACTAATGCTGCACAAAATTCAAGACATGCTTGATCCAAATCCACCGCTAAAGAAAAATTGGCGACAAGTGGGACATCATTTAAACGTTACCGAGGGAGACTTAGACTTACTGGAACTTCAATATAAGTCAAACGGCAGTCCTACGGAGAGTCTTATAGAAACATTGAAGAATTTTACACCAGAGCCTTCAATGAAAAAATTTGTCGAAGCTCTGATCAGTTGTGAAAGAAGTGACGTGGCCAAATATATTTGTAACTGGCCATGGGAGAAACGTAACTGTACTGAACTGGAGAACCATGAGCAACCAGATACGGTCCAGCAACCATCCTAAGGATATTTTTCTCCCCAGTCAGCAGTTCTTTTGAAGGTCACACAATCAGCACAACCCAAGTGCGTTCCGTGACATCCGAATACTAGCCCCAGGCCGTATTATTGACTTGATAGTACGCGCTTCTATAATGTTATAACCTATTATTTATTTGGGCTTTATGCATCACGTGCTTTTATTTATTAAATAAAGCAACGAAACAAAACAAAACAAAGAAAAAAGCAAAAAAACACAAAGCTAATAAATAAATGAGAGTTTAGTCGTTTGTCTCTCGAGGTAAAAGAGTCAGGCTTATCAATCGTGTATTGATAAGTCTGACTCTTCTTTACCCGTGACCTTCTTGTATAAGAAGATTCTGGAACGTTCTATTTCTTATCTAATTACTCTAATTTAGAAACTGTGTTAATTTACTGAATTTAGTTCTTTAGAAAAGTTTCTAGATCCTTGGACTTTATGTATATAAGAGCGATAGTTTTATCAAAAAATAAACAAAACAAAACAAAAAAACAGAAAATTGTGAAGAAGCCAACTACGTGAAAATAAATCAGTTTGTTGCTGTTACCGACGATCCTGAGTTTTGTCTAGGAACAACCCTGCTCTACATCGACACCCGTAACAGTGTGTTATGGCGCGTTGTCATCGGTGCATTTTGATCCTTATTAGTATTCTGAGAATTAGATGTTCTACCCTCTTAGGTCTGCTTTGTTACCCATTGCCTGTAATGGTTTTTGAAAAAGAAATACACCCTTCTTGATAATACAACTTCACTTTTTTCGATGGTCAGCTTGGCAGATGAATAATTAACAATGTGTTCAACAATTAATGCGTTCAGAAATGTTTAATATATTTTTGTCCATTGTGACAAACTATTAAGGTAATTTATGTTTAAATATTTTTTATCATTTAAATATTTAATTGTATCTAATTGTTTATTCCTACGGGGATTTGTAATTGTCTTTCTAGAAAATAATACATGGCGCGCGTAGATATAGAATTTCTCGTCGAGTGTTCGGTTCGATAGCCTACGAGTGAGCACAGTTGTTCCTGAGAAATTTCCAACTCTGATGATTAGGTGTCTTATGCTAACTTTCTAATTATCTGTACACCTCGTATACCTCGTATCCTATCTTCATCATAATTTTATAGAGATTTTTGTAGTCGTCATAATTTTATACAGATTTTTATAGTTTGATATTTAGACATTAGAGAAACATTTTATAGTTTGATATTCATTTTATAATTAAAGAACACCTGGCATACCTAGCATTCCATTTTCGTTATAATTTTAACAATTTTTTTGAAGCTTGATATTTAGACATCAGAAAGACATTTTATAGTTTAACATTCAATTTTTCATTAGCTTTTTATGTACACGTCATACACGTAGTATCTTATTTCTGTTTATAGACTTTATTTTGCCCGAATATATCCTCGTATATTTGTCTTTGGACATTATCAGTTCCTCGAATTTCCCTGGAAAAGAAAAGAGAGTGTTCAGAAAATATGTTTGGAAAGTGGAGAAAAATGGAGTTCTTATTCTATCGAGTTGAATAATCACCTTCCGTGATTATAACTTAGAGATGAAGAAAAAAGCTTAGAAATTACGATAGCCGTCTAATCTTAACCACTTTGGATTGCGAGCCTCAAGCTTCATAAAATGATCAGAACCGTTCGACTTCTTTCAAAAAATACGGCAATAACCACTGAGTGTATTATTTATTTCATAAACACGATATATTTTTTTTCTTTCTTTACCCGTACGACCTTTACACTCCCAAAGAATAGACTGTGTTTGAGGTTGACCGTCACTCGCATGAATTTGGTTTGTTGCGATGACGCTGCAACTTCGAGGAAAATAACAACCAGCGTTTCCACTGCACAACACTACATGCCTCCAAAGTATCATGAGGTAAAGAAGCACCAGGAACGTCCTCTTCCTCTAGAATTACCGTTTTATTGTTACTATTAAACTCAACAGAAGTACTCTATGTAGCCGCCATTATTTTAGTTTGTCCAGCTCAACAATCCATGCATGCCTTGCGACCCGATTTCGGTCCCAGGTCTCAACTCGTTTTGTTACCGCATGAATAAATTTGTTTGTTGCGTTGACACTGCAGCTTCGAGGAAAATAATTATTAAATCGACCGAGGGAAGTTAAAAAAACTAGAGTAAAAGAGCTTCATGCCGTTTCCATCGAATATTCCATTTTGTTCGACGTCTGTGCACTTCTTTTGCTAAGTCAGAGGTGTACGACGATGAATGCATGATATTGGGCACGCAGTAGGTCAAGGGAAGGGGAATCTCCTTCGGCGACCCGCTCACTCCATAAATAGTTCGCTAAACGCCCACTACAAAAAAAAAAAAAACGGTGTCACGTACAGGAAATCCCTCAACCGTGGATGAATGATTAATCAATTTAGAATGAACTTTTCCGTCTTTTGCAAGCCCATAACTCCCCTCTGCCATTAAGACTGTTCATTAGGGCTAAACAAAAGCGTTTTAAGTATAACGGCTCTATATCGATGGAAATTTATGCTATCGAGACCGACAACTCCATAATTTTCAGCATGGAGAGTACAAAATTGAAGCAGTACAGATCGGTAAGTGAACAAAAGTGATTGAACTCTTAAATTTACACTTGCTCGATCTACAGTTGTTTAACTATGTTCTGGTATACTTTCGGCGAGATTCAACTGAGTTTGCATGTTTATTTCTTGACACAGGTTAACAAAGGACGCAAACTCAGTTATGATGACAAGCACAGCATGAAAGGCGCTATTAAGGTAAGAGAATATTTGTAGGTATCGTATTTATTCGATGAAACATCTCGGTTGTTGTATGGTAAATGTACTATCTTGATCTTTGAATGAAAGACAGTTGAATTGGAGCAATGAAAGGAGTACCTTGACCAATGAACAACTCTAAAATGCACACGGCAACACGCTGGGTAAGCCAAAAAGCAGGAGGTAGTCGATCGTTAAAAGGTGTCGATAGGCTTGTGCGACTCCTGTCATTCGCTTGCGCTTTTAAATCTTCTTACCTGAAAGCTTAGCTGTTATTAGGACATCTTTTAATGACTTTCGTTGGCGATGTGATTATAAGGGAAATGACATGAAGTGTATGGCATGTAAAATAGTTCGCGCATTACTGTAGAAGGTCGCTGTCTCTTTGTAATGCGTTTCATGTCAAGGGTCGATTCCCCGTTAAATAACTCGCGAATTTGATATTATTCGCACAGCCATCCACTGTGAGTGTAACTGCCGCCAAATGAATTAATTCTCAGGCAAGGCTGAAGTTTCCATCCTCTCTGAATCTCTCTAGTTGCCTCCTAAGAACGAATATGCTTAGGAGAAATATCTAAGGAATCGCGCAAACGGGCAAACACTAGTTATAGTTTGTTAGGGGTCAGAGTATGCAAATTTGTCACTCACTTAGATGTAAATAAGTCGATATGTCAACGGCAGACCAATTGATTTTCCGAAATAATACATATCGACTTAAGACTTTCAGAAGTAAATGCCGCGACGTTGAAATATAATTCGACCATTCATCGAGGAAGTTTCGACCAATACTCGTCGCAGTCAGCATATGTGAAAGCGAGTCAAAGCTGTGTTAAAGTTTTGACAAGTACTATGAGTGTAGACGCTAAATGCGAAGAGTCTTTGACTCTTTGAGACGTTTGCTCGTCGATCCTCCAAGCTTATAGGGGGTTTATAAATGGTGAGCCTTTTACGAGTGAATCTGAAGAGCGAAACTTTGATCGAACTGATGAGGGAACCTATGAGCACCCATATCAGCTTAAGTATGAATCAACGTGAGGTCAAACAAAGCTATTAGAAACATCAGTAGCACGACTAATCAGTCCATGATATCCCACCAAAACACTCTTGTGGCCAAGCAGAACGAAACGCAGTCAGAAGACTGATCTGATGGTAACAGAAATCAAACCGGAAAATTACAGGAACGAAGAAGTAGGTCAAAGTCTAATCCTTAGCAAACGCGTCCGCCATGATAGAGAACCATCAAGATTATAGTGGAAGAACATTCTAAACTTTTTTAAAATGGTAGAGCAGTTAAGAGGTATGTAAGGTCTCATATTTTGCATGGTGTACCACATTTGTCAGCGTTGAAAACGATTTTATCGTTCAGTTAACGTTTGATTACCATAATTATCTTAAAACTAGAATGTGTAGAGGTAAACTAATTGGAATCACTCGTGCTAAAGGTTCAAGGTTGTATTTTGCCATTGATCATGTTAATGTTTTCAAAACAAGAACTGCACAGCATAAAAAGACATGTAAAAAATCAGTTGTTTTTCATGATGAATTTGAACATGTTGTTTAATGTTATACAATAAATTGTGAGAAACGAAATCACAAGTATTTTGTTTCAAGGGCAAAGTTACTTACTTCAGGTGATATTGAGTTAAACCCGGAACCTGTTACTCACGGAAATAGTCCGAACAATCTTAATGAGTTGTTACAATCTCGGTTAACTTAACATGGCTATAGAATATTAGATGTTGGTGGCGCCGGTGATTGCTCCTTTAGAGTTATGTACCATCAGTTGTAGGGTGAACCTAGCTATCACATGAATGTTCATAGTACTGGTGTTCAATATATGAGAAACAATTCAGAAAGATTCATCGAAAGTAGTAAAGACCATTCATGGTCAAGGTGTTAACTAATATATCAGGGTACATGGGCTGATGCACTTGTCATTCAAGAATGGAGTGAGTAAATCATTCACAACCTGCAGCACATTCATACAAATTTTACATTAGAAATCTGCTATAGTATACGCTTTAATGGCAAAAAGTAAAGTTAAGGAATGGTGTAGGTTAAACGATAGCCAGCATGTGAATTCTGACTATTCACTCAACATCACAAGAGCAGTTCCAAGAAATTCCATGTAGTTTTAACTCTATCCAAGAGTTACCCATTGGCTACCCATGTTTACGTGTAAAAGTGTATGTTATTGTAAAGAGGAATTATCTCCAAAATCCATTAAAACGTAATGTATCCGTGACTCAGTTATTCACAATTTCCTACGATCTATATTGTTCTCAATTTGACAATTTGCATGTTAATACTACTGCAATACATAAAGAGAATAAAGATCTTATGTTGGATATGCTTTCAACATCAGAACTGATACATTCAAAAGGAGTTGTGTTTGATTCACTCAAAATTTCCAATTGTTATTGAAGCAATGATCACTGTGTGCTTTTTGAGTTTATTATTGAAATAAACAGTGCATGTTGATGCAGCATTTATTCGTGGGCAGTGTTTATTAATATTTTGGTTTTAAAATGCGGCATGTATTTTAGGGCAGCATTTAATGAAATAAATATGGTACTTGTTGGTAAGGCATGGGTAAATTATGCTGCATAATTTTGAAGATAACTAGGCATCTTGCATAGCAAGAATTACGCCACCATAAAGCTGCCTTTCAACTAGGATTTTCAGCAGAATTTTTGAAAACTAGCAACACAGACTGAAAGCAATCAAACAAGTTAATAAATATGGAGATAATTTCCCACTGCTGTGTTACAGAGTTGCTCACACTTGGTTATCTCTGCTGAAAATATTGAATAACTTGTTAGGTTTTTTTATGAAATGTTAAAATTCATTGTTGTTTGAAAATATTGTACTTGAAGTTATGTTTTGATTAAACATGTAATGTAGCTCTAACCAACATTTATAGCATACTTTTTCTCTTTGTCTAATATTTCTGAACATAATTTGTGCAGGTTTGCAATTATTGCAATTAATAGATGCTGATATTTTTATCTTAGCTGATCCTGTTACTAATATTGTGGTCACGATCTGTGTCTGGAAGGCCAGCAAGATGTTCCCTTGCGCAAAATTTCTTACGATACTTTCCCGATGCTCCAGAAGCTCAAATGGAGTGCAAAGCATGTCCTAAGTGCCCAGCAGGAATGGGACTCACACCATTATGCGGTTCAAAGATTTCAAACTACACCATCATCAAATGTGAACCTTGCAGAGAGATGTGACTTTCTCTGAGACACACAGCATTGAAAGCTGCAGACCCTGTCATGACTGTGGATTAAGGAACATTATCCAGCAGTGTACCCTTTATCAAAACCGTCGATGCGAAACAAGTGCCCTGAAAGACATTTTCTGGGTGACAATGGTTTTTTGCCATGAATGCTATTTTGCTGCTCCAACATCCCCGAGTCTTCCAGGCTAAAAAAATGTAAAGACATTGGAATGAGCAGGGACTGGCAGTGCCTCAAATCCCAAACGAATGGGCTTTGCAAGGAAATAAGGGAGAAAAATGCAGAAAATGCTACTTCAACTACTCATGACGTAACCACACCTACTTCTAGTGCTGATCTCGCTGTCTTTGATTTTAACTTGAACTTGACTGGTATGGTTTCAAGTGAAGAAGACACCAGGAAACCTGTATTCAAATCCGAAAAAAACAATTCACTTCCAGCAACAACAAAGACAGGTACAGACAAGAGGTCAACAAAAGAAGAAGGAGAAACAGTGACATCTACATTTATAGCCTTGATAGCTATTGGGACTGCCATTATATTATTTATTTTTTTGGGTGCAATCATTTACTACTGCTTTAAACGTTCGCATCCAAACGGTAAGAAAAAGATATACTTTTTTCTTCTTTAATTGCGCAAGTATATTTTGTAACATTTATGGAATAAGTAGACCCTTTGAGAAAATTGAGTAATTTAATGAATTCTTATCATAATCATGTTTAAGTGCTATTTCACACGGATGTACACAAATTGAAACTTAGAAAATAGTGATTATACTATGACCATCATATGTCAATTGTCCTCAAGCAGGAGTCCATCACCCAGAGCCACCATACCAATTATACCATTGAGTCAACCCTGTCCTGTATCTTTTTATTTTGAGACAATAATTTATGCTATGTTGCAGTTACAAATTCCAACGAGCGTATACCTCTGAGAGGTATGGAAGGTGCCGAAGATAGAGATGTCTCAACAGAAACCGCAGAAGGTAATGAAAACCATCATAATATTTATGCATCACGCATTCTGCTGACAAGCTTTTGGACAAAAATGAATCTATTTCAAGATGTACATCTCTTGAGCAGACTTTTCTTCAAGAGGGGAGAATTGACAATCAGATCTTGAGAATCAAAGAGTTAATAATCCCTTTAACTCTCCAGTTCTAACTGTTAATTTTCCCCCCTAGCTTCTACACATTTCCCTTTAGTTTTGTTACAAGAATTTGGTTTGGGATCAAGATAACCTCTACCTGATAAATTTGATTATTCTCATTACCTATTTGCTGGATAATGTATGGATATTACAGGAAGAAGTTGCATGTTAATCACTTCAGGGAGTTGGAGGATTAAGATTTTTCCAATTTTATGGTAATCAACAAGTTGCATTCTGGATAACTGAAGTGCTTCTTAATTTTATTTTGTCTCTCAAATGTGCTAGAAGCTAATGACAATCAAGAGCCTCTCATTAGTGAGCTTAGACAAGACCAGCCAAAAACTGATCTGATTCCGGCAGGTGAGGTGTACATCCTGCCATTTGGTAGACCAAGTTGATTACTTGTTTATTCTTGTTATGCAATTAAGATCATGCGATGACTGTGCCATTAGTCATTCAGATGTTGCATTTCATCTCTTACATGTACCCTCCTCTTAGCTTGGTGCAATAAAATGCACAATTGTAGCCTCGTGAGTGGGTGTTAAAATGGAAATAAACTCATCCCCTGAGTTAGTCTGTAGTACCTACACTACAGAGATTAAGTTTCCTTCACTGCTGAACACTGTACTCCTAAAAATAAACCAAAAAACTATTCTTAATCCTTGGGAATTCTTAACAATTGAAGCATGCCTTTTTCCACCAATGGTACTACAAAAAACTCTGTTAACATCATTATCTATTGAACTCTTAGATTGCAAAGTCTCTGAAATGCCACAGCTGCATAACCACGAAAATCAAATACTATTGCACTATGTGCAAAGGATGCTGGATCCACTGGAGAAACAGACAAAGAAAAATTGGCGCTCTGTTGGGCAAACCTTGAATGTTTCAGAAGAAGACTTGGACCTAATAGACACTGATTACAGAGCAGGAAGAAGTCCTACAGTTAGTCTTATTGGTAAATTAAGTACCTTTTTAACAGTACCCTCAATAAGAAGCTTTGTAGAAGCTCTTATTACTTGCAAAAGGTATGATGTGGCCACCCATATTTGCAACTGGCCATGGGAGTTACGCACTATACAATAAGGGATATCATTCAGCAAGCTTGAAATGAGAAATAATTATTAAATAAGTAACTGGTCATAACCTTCAGCTGTTAGGTCTTTAGAGAGCCCCCCACCTTAAAAAAACAAAACAAAAAAACAAAAAGATTCCCATATAACTTCTGCAAAAAACAGGGCACACGGAACAAGCAACTAACTACAAGCTGAAGGCCTCTAGTATCTCATTATGTTGAAAGCCAGGGAAATGAACTGACAATTTTTCTTTGGCTAGTATGCTAGAAGCCACTTTAGACAACATTTTAAAAACACAACGCAAAGTTGCTGATAACTTTAATAACTTAATATGTTCCCAGTTTCACAACAAAGAGTCATACTCTGACTTGCAAACAGCAATACCATGTTTTACACAGCAAACATTGCCCTGCATGATATCATTTCCCAGTCCTTTAATAACATCCTTGACATTAATTTTCTCCTGTCAGCATCTTTTGTATAACAGTTTTAAAGTTCATAATATTAACCTCAAAGAGGAAACAAACAAACAAAAAAAATACAAAATACTTAACAAAGGAGAAAAGAAGGAACCAAAAAATACCAGAAAGGAAAAATTGGTAACTGAGCATACACTGTAATGTTTCAAAAAAAATTTTAAACATTCACTTGTGCCATTGAATTCTATAAAGAGCTTTTTGAAAACAACTTCTGCATATGAAAAAAAGAAAAAAAAAACAAGGAGGTCAGCAAAAAGAAACATTTACATACACATAATTGTTATTAATCATTCCAATGATGAGTGCATCTTGTTTCTTGTAAGTACTTTCAGTTAAAGAGGAATAATGTGGCTGAATATTAAATATTTATCAGGACTTTATTTACTAGGTGGTGCTATTTAACAACATTAGCTCAAAGCAAACAATATTGCAATCTTGAATTTTTCAATAGCCAACCACAAAGGCTTTTGGTTAAGAATCTTGATCAGACCTTGACAGTTAAATGCAAAATGTTTCCATTTGTAGCTTCTGTGTGTCAAGTGTCATGATCAAAATAATTTTTTTTTCATGAACAAGAACATGAAAAGTAACTCTAAGTGATGTCTTATAATTATGCATTAAGTAGATGTATTTATCTTGATGCAACATATTTATGCTATCAAATATTATGTGTAAATATTACATTAAAAGATTCTTAAGCCAGTAGTTCTGAGATCTGTGCAATTTAGATTGTGTTTACATTTGTGCTATAAGAGGCATGATAAGTACATCTTTATTCTGCTTACAACGTCAAGTGGTAAATGTTGATAACAATGAAAATAAATTCAGGTTCCGGAATTTAAGTGCCTGCATGGACTGTATCTCCAATGACCCAAGTAGGTGGGAAGCTCTTGCTTTCTGCATCTTTTGATAGCAGATGTGAAAGTTGAGACATGGGCAAATCAGAACAGTTGTTATACAGACAGGACTGTATGTTACTGTCAATGGTACACAAGTAAGTAAACTACGAAAATACTGTTTGGAACATTTTATTATCGTTGTGAATTACTTAGTTTACAAAGAAGAAATCAGGTCCAAAGTCTTAACTGTAAGACATTCAAGTTACACAGCTTTAGTTTAGAAGACACCTGGAAAAGAAGATAAAAAGATCATGAGTGCAGGGAATCCCATTTTGGCAATGTTAACAGAGTTAGGAAGTGTGATTTTATCGGAAGAAAGTCTCAGTATTTAAGTAGTCTTCAGAAGTAAATATCAGTAGATTATGATTGAATGTTTAACAAATAGAGAAGCCTTGACTGTGCTCTGTTCTGTTATAAAGCACGCAGGAAGCAGCTAGAGCACGAAAGAAGTGTAGGGAGAAGCACGAGACGTAGTAGAATGTTTATCTATTAGTTTTAAAATAAAGAATCCGTTAGATTCCCCAAGCATTACTTTCAATTATCAAAAGAAACTTTATTTCCAAAGCGATCAACAGTGTCGTCAGCATGCTCGGATCAATATTAGTATCTGGGCAACTACCCACCTACCCCTCCCCTAACCCAACATTAACCCTAATTTGCTATCGACCGTTCTTGAGTTAGGGGAGGGGTAGGTGGGCAGTTGCCCAAATACTGATATTGATCCGCATGCTCTATACTCTCATAAAGCACGCTACAATAAGCTAATCAGAATCCCTGTTAGAATAGTTCAAATAATCTGATTGGCTGTACAAGACTAAAGCTGTCAAAATTGTCAAACCATCAAAATTAAAAAACCATCAAAGTTCACATTCTGCGATAGTTTACAAACTAAAATAGTTCGGCAGGTCGAATTTAACACTTTTGCCTGAAGTTTTTAAGTTCCTTATACAGAATCTTGAAGTGAAATGTTCAGTGAACTTCAGCCGAATTATGGCTCATAAAAACACGCAAGTTTTTTCACATGACATGATAGAAAACAAACTGTTCAAGGCGAGTGTTTTTTGAATGAAGGACAGCTGAATTCACCGGAACATGAAGATCGCTCGGGATGACAGCGCGGCAAAACTCGGCTGCAGTGACTGATGTGACTTTCCACTCAACGCATCGGAAAGGATATCAGAGCAAGCTCTTATTTTTTCACTCGAAGGGCGGCCAATGTAGTTTCTGAGGCTTGCTTTACTGCGATGACCGGAGATCGCCATGATGAGCGAGCCGCGATGGACTTTAGCATGATCATATTCGCTCAGACACCGTCATGATTAGAATGAATTTTAACAGTTATGCCAGTTTGGTTATATTTTTTCACCATCTCTGTTTTGTTCTGTCTTTTTTTTTTTTTTGAACACTGTACTTTATATATTGTACAAGTGTTAGCTGTGTTTGATTTTTTATTACCGTACGTAAGCTTGCAATCTAACTGAGCGTGTGTATTTTGTTTTTTTCCTTTGAGGATTTTCGTTTCTGCTCACGTTTTAATAACGTAAAATTACGGAGCCTGGTATGTTTATAAACCTTTGTTTGGTTCTTCTGTTGCTACTTGCCGGCTCGCTTGTTCCGAAATTTCACTTTCAATTATCGGGAAAAAGCGAAAAAGAAGTCCCGGAAAAGGTCGAACATAGTACAATTTGGCAGATGGCATGACAGCTTTAGCTCAGCTCTATGCTCTATACTCTCATAGAGCACGCTCTTTCAAACAATGACAGCGCGCGTTATATCATAACTTTATTATAAATTAAGTTATCACTGGCTTTCAACTCAGGGGTTTGAACACAGGGCATAATCTTTCCAACTAATAATAATATCATTATGATCCAAGAAATTTTTTGCTGTTTTCCATTGTAAACAATCAGGGGTTGGTTGAAATTACTGCAGAAATCATGATTTACTCAATATATTTCTCACCTTTCTACATGTATTCTGGGAAAATTATTGTCCATCTTCTCCCATGATTTTCATGAAAGAATCAAGTTTTTGAAACAAGTTGGATGGACCTTGACTTTTTTTTTTGACCAAAGCCCCCTTTATAATAGAACTCTGAAATATTGTGATAATAATAACTTTATTTACTTAGGGTGACACATTAAAGTTCAGAACTGGTGAACTTGTGACCCTCCTCTAAGATATAAAACTAATTTATAAATATTAAAAAGGTAAAAGCAGTTAAAAATGGTAAAAACGGGAAGAAAAAAAAGGGTAAATGTAATATTAAATGTAATATATTAAAAGGGGTCCAAATATTATATATATTATAATATATCTATATTATATTTATAAAATTACAAATAGTTCTGTTTGAAAGCATTTATACTGGTGCTAGCTCTTATATTACTGAGTTGAGAGTCCCAAAGTTTTACAGCTGTAACAAGAAATGTTTTTCCACCTTCTGTGTATACCTAGGACAGCATATAGTTATATCACCATAGCAACTACTCTATGAGAGGCAACTACTGAAGTCTCCTACTAACTTTTTAGTCTTCAGGATATGCAAACACAATGCAAATACAATAATTACCATGTAAACTAAAGGAGCAAAACACTTGATCCCAAATCACAACCTACATGTACAACAGCAGTTATTTGATGAGGCGTAAAGAGAAAATACCCTGCTATCACATGGAAATAGAATTAAAATCAACAATCAATCGTGATTGACCACTTCCCCATTAAGGCTTCTCGGGGTCACCCAAATGCTAGTTCAGCAACCAACCACTTTGCCATTCTGCATATCTGCAGCATGCCTTAGTTAATCATTGACTTCCTGCATCGCAAACTTGTCATGTTTGATCTATTGTAATATTCAAACATACCCATTTGCAAGATAATAACAAGAGTAGAATCCATCATTGAACCCAAGAACTCTAATCTGTTATTGTCAAAGTATGAACTCATCACGAACCACACCAAGTAATGGAACTACTTGTAAACTTCCTTAAAAACATTCAAGGCCAGCCTCTTAGAGGAGCAAGGTGCCAGATTATATTTGCAAATTAATCAGCCAAAAGAAATCAACAGGATATTCCTTCAGATCCAGCAAAAAAAAGTATGCTTGAGGTTCCAAGAGGCAAGATACTCCCAACACTTGGTGGTAGAGCATTCTGTTATACGGCCCCAAAGCTCTAGAACAATTTACCCAGCAAGATATCCAGCCTTGACTCTCAAATTTTAAATGCCTTGTGGAAACATGTCTTTTTAAACAAGCTTTTAATTTGTAGCAGAGTTTTTATTTCGTTTATTTTATTATTTATCATTTATTGTCATTTTATTTCATTTTAAATCTCTCAATCTGCTTGTAAATTTTATTCATTTTTAATCTTTTTAACTTATTGTAAAGCACGTTTGATCATGTGCTATGGAAAGTTGTACTACATAAGTTTTAATTCATTTTAATAAATTGTAAAAAAAAATTGTAAAATTAATTAAAATTAAAAAAATTAATTGCAATTGTAAGAGAAAATCTAAGATCACTAATGACTTAACCACTGTGTTGTATCAGAGAGAACTTTATAATTATTTTGTAATTTGATTTTACCTCACCTCATTACAAACACAAGTAGGAACGACAACAAAAAAACTGTGCAAATTCCTTATGTCATCCACTCAATGAAACAAAAACAATTAACTTTAATTAGAATGAGGCACGCAGTTATTCGTTTGACATGAGAAAGAAACTTGGAAGTTTTTCAATCAGACCTTTGGGGCGGTATGAGATAGGGGCGAAAATTATCGTCACCAGCAATCAGCTGAACTATGAACTCATCACAAGAATTATCAACAATCGAGTGTATATCGAAGCGATCAACTGAAATCATTACATCAAGGAATAACCAAGGTTTTGTGCCAGCATAGCTTAAAGAATAATCTCAATTTTGGAAACGAGCTTGTGGCAATTAAAGGAAACAAGTTTCAAAGTTACTCTTTAAATAAAATGTTGGATATTTTGACATATACAAGTGTATCGAAATGTATCGGTGCCTGCTCTTAAAAATCAACCCGTAGTTCAGTTAACACCGAGAATAACATTGTTCGGTGCCAGTATCGATGTATCAGACCACAGGCAATTGAAAACAAATATCTTACCTGGGAAGCTCAGTATTTTCGAAAGATATGACGATTGTCCTTTGACTTGATGTGAAAAACGTTTCATTAAATTAACAAAAGTGTTAACTTAGAATGGGAGAAATGTCCGCCATGTTAAATAATTGAGTTTGCGACCGCTGATCAATTCGTCCAAAGTAAAATAAGCCGGCGGGCATAGTCAGCGATCAAACGCAAGAATCCAAAACCTAGTGTTGGTAATCGGGTAAAACATTCCGTTGGGACCCTAAGAACCGAGTTTCGAGTTTTTATTTATATTTGTTATTTTTTAATTTATTCATTTTTCATGCGTCCCGGGTTTTAGTAATTTTGTGTTCCGGGTTTTAGTATTCCGGCGTTCCGGCATTCTAGCGTTCCATGTTTTGGTACAAGCCAGCTAATCTCGCTTTTGATCTTGAGAAGTTATTCATGGATCGATTTTTTCGCGGTTGTGTGTACGTGTACGTGAGGTCATGCACAAGAGGGGTGACATCATACATGGTAACAGGAAATGAAATTTCAGAGAAAGGACTTGGTCTAAATTTATCAGCCAATCAGATTGCAGGATTTTGTATTCCTTCCTAACCTTATAAAAAGGAATCATTCTGTCGAACGACAGTGTGGTAGTACGAACTGCAGTGTTGTAGTGTCAGGACGAAAAATACGCTCACAATCTTGCGTGCGGTGAAGGAGTTTCTCGTTAATATCTAAATGGTAAGTGTTCCTTATGCTGTTTGGACCCTTCATTTTCTTAGAGCTCCTTATTAGATGTTCTTCTCTCTTAGATCCACTTTGTTGCCCATTGCCTGTTATGTTTTTGATAATAGACATCCACCTTTCTGGTTAATACAACTTTACTTTTGGTATTTCGATGGTCAGCTTGGCAAAGGAATAATTAACAATATGCTCAACAATTCATGCATTCAGAAATACTTAATATATTTTCGTCCATTGTGACAAACTACTTAGGTAATTTATGTTTACATATTTTATTGTATCTAATTATTTATTTCTACGGGGATTTGTAATTGCTTTTCTAGTGAATACTGAGGCTTACATGCACGATGATGCATGCATGACCTATGGCACGTAGTAGTTCGGGGTACGGGGAATCCCCACCTAACCTCCACCGACTGAACCCAGTCCCTCCATAAACCGTTCTCTCCTCTGTGATCTTAACGCCCACTAAAGATAGTCGGCTATTTCATTAAAAGTTTTAGCCATATGAAGCTTCAAGGTTCGAAGGCGGCCCACTAAAGACGTTTTATCTGCATGACCTCCGTTGATTTGCAGTGTAAAGGGAAAACCCCTTACATAATGAATGCGAAATCAATTTGGAGCGAACTTTCTCATCTTCTGTACTAAGCCCATAATTCTAAGCCCATAATTCTCGAAAACAAGCGGCACAGACTAAAATTTAAAGCAATCAAACATGTTAATTAATATGGAAATAATTTCCCATTACTGTGTTGCGGAGTTGCTCACTGCTCCGTTATCTCCGCTGTAAATATTAAATAAGTTGTTGTGTTGTTGCGAATGTTTATAGTAGTTTAAAAATACTACTATTGAAGTTGTGTCGTGAATAAAGCGTATCATAGCTCTAACCAACATTTATATCGTACGTTTCCTCTTTACCTAATATTTTCGAACATAATTTCACTAATTTGTGCAGGTTCGCGATCACTGCAATTAATAAATACTGATATTTTTATCTTAGCTGATCCTGTTCTTATTATTGTGGTCACGATTTGCGTCTGGAAGGCCGACAAGATGTTCCTGTCAAGAAATTTCTTACGATACTTTCCCGATGCTCCAGAAGCTCAAATAGAGTGCAAAGCATGTCCCAAGTGCCCAGAAGGAACAGGACTCACACCATTATGCGGTTCAAAGATCTCTAACTACACCATCATCAAATGTGAACCTTGCAGAGAGAATGCGACCTTCTCTGACACACATAGCATTGAAAGCTGCAGACCCTGTCATGACTGTGGATTAAGGAACATTATCCAGCAGTGTACCCCTTTATCAAAACCGCAAATGTGGAAACAGGTGCCCTGAAAGACATTTTCTGGACAACAATGGTTTCTGCCAGGAATGTTATTTTTGCTGCTCTGATGTCCCTGAGTCTTCCAGGCTGAAAAGCTGTAAAGACATTGGAATGGGCAGGGACTGGCAGTGCCTTGAGTCCCATGAGAATAGACTCTGCAAGAAAATAAGGGAGACTGTAGAAAATGCTACTTCAACTACTCCTGAAGTAACCACACCTACTCCTAGTGCTGATCTCCGCCCTGCCTCTGATTCTGACCTGAACTTAACTGGTATGGTTTCAAGTAAAGAAGACACCAGGAACCTGTACTCAAATCCGAAAAAATTCGCTTCCAGCAACAACAAAGACAGGTACAGACAAGAGGTCGACAAAAGAAGAAGGGGAAACAGTAACATCTACATCTATAGCCTTGATAGCTATTGGGGCTGCCACTCTAGTTTTTATTTTGGGTGCAATCATTTACTACTGCTGGAAACGCTCACATTCAGACGGTAAGAAAAAGTCATACTTTTCCTTCTATAATAGCCTGAGTATATTTTTGTGACATTTATGGAATTAGTAGACCCTTTGAGAAAATTGAGTAATTTAATAAATTCTTACCATAATCATGTTTAAGTGGGGTTTCACACGAAAGTACACAAATTGAAACTAAGCAAGTAGCGATTATGCTATGACCATCATATGTCAATTGTCCTCAAGTAATAAAATTATTTCATTTTAAATTTGATCTGAGGGCCCACAACCATCTCTTTCCCTTAAGTAAACTTAAATCTTGACGCTCGAGCACATTAGTATGTCTCCTCCATACAACTTTTTCCAGTGTTTGTGTAACTTAATTTTTTTTTTCATTCATTTTTTTTTAATCAGGTAAACCTTTTTGGTTGGGTCCATAGTTTGACTCCCATTAATATTATTAAATTCATTTTTGGCTTCATCAAGGTGTACTTTGCTGATTAATAGACACATAATAGTAACTTTCAGTGTAGCATACAATAACACAACAATGCTTTGTTGCAGTTACAAATTCTAACGAGTGTATACCCCTGAAAGGTATACAAGGCGCCAAGGATAGAGATGGCTCAACAGAAACTGTAGAAGGTAGTGACAACTAACATAGTAGTTTTGCATCACACATTCTACTGACAAGCTTTTGGACAAAAATGAATCTACTTCAAGATATACATCTCTTGACCAGCTTTTTCTTCAAGAGGGGAGAATTAACGATCAGATCTTGAGAATCAAAGAGTTTACCCTCTAACTCTCGACTTCTAATTGTTAATTTTCTACTTTAGCTGCTACACATTTCCCTTTAGTTTTGTTAAAAGTATTTGGTGTGATATCAAGGTAACCTGTACCTGATAAATCTGATTATTCTCATTACCTATTTGGTGGATAATATATGGATATTACGGGAAGCAGTTGCATTTGCATATTTATCAATTCAGGGAGTTAGCGGGTTAATACTTCCCCGATTGTGTGGTAATCAGCAAGTTGCTTTCTAGGATAACCAATTAGTGCTTCTTAATTTTTTTGTCTCTCAGATGTGCTAGAAGCTGATGACCATGAGGAGTCTACCACCAGTGAGCCTAGAAAAGACCAGCCAAAAACTGATCTGATTCCAGCAGGTGAGGTGTACATCCTGCCATTTGGTAGACCAACTTGGCAACTTGTTTATTCTTGTTATGCAATTAAGATCATGTGATGAGTGTTCCATCAATCATTCAGATGTTGCATTTCTTCTCTTACATGTATCCTCCTCTTAGCTTGGTGCAATGCAATTAGAGCCTTGTGAATGGGTGTTAAAATGGAAGTAAACTCATCCCCTGAATTAGTCTGTTGTACCTGGACTATGGAGACTAAGTTTCCGTTCACTGCCAAACATTAATATTATAATCTTAAAAATAAAGCAATTTTCAATCCTTGGGAATTCTTAACAATTAAAGCATGTCTTTGTCCACCAATAGCACTACAAAAAAGCATATTTCATGTTACAACTCTAGCTCCGTGACCATTACTGTAGTAATACTGCTTTCCATTGAACTCTTAGATTGCAAAGTCTCTGAAATGCCACAGCTGCGTAACCATAAAAATCAAATACTATTGCACTATGTGCAAAGGATGCTGGATCCACTGGAGAAACAAACAAAAAAAAATTGGCGCTCTATTGGGCAAATCTTGAATGTTTCAGAAGAAGACTTGGACCTGATAGACACTGATTATGGAGCAGGAAGAAGTCCTACAGTTAGTCTTATTGATACATTGAGCACCTTTACAATAGTACCCTCTATGAGAAGCTTTGTAGAAGCTCTTGTTGCTTGCAACAGGTATAATGTGGCCATTAATATTTGCAACTGGTCATGGGAATTACGTACTGCGCAATGAGGGAAATTATTCAGCAAGCTTAAGACGAAAATAATTAAGTAACTAGCTGTAACCAGCAGCAGTTTGGTCTATGGAGAGCCCCTCCTCGAAAAAAAAAAAAAAATTCCTGTATAACCTCTGCACAACCACTATGCCCTGTCACAGAGCATACACTATAATGGTTCTAAACCAAAAATGCCAGAAAGGAAAAATTGGTCACGGAACATACACTATAATGGTTCTGAGCCCAAAATACCAGAAAGGAAAAATTGGTCACAGAGCATACACTATAATGGTTCTGAGCCTAAAATACCAGAAAGGAAAAAATTGGTCACAGAGCATACATTAAAGAGGGGCTTTTTGAAAACAACTCCTGGATATGGAAACAAGGACATCAATGAGAAGAAACAGTTACACACACAAAATTGTTATTAATCATTACAACAGTGCCAAATATTTTCAGGAAATGAGTAGTATGTGGCTGAATATTTATTATTATCAGGACTTTATTTACTATGCTATTTAACAGCATCCCAAAAGCCAACGATATTTCAATTTTGGATTTTTCAATAACCAACCACAAGGGCTTTAATGGTAAAGAATCTTTGATCAGACTTTGACAGTTACATGTAACGTTAAAATGTTTCCATTTGTAGCTTTTGTGAGTCAAATGTCATGATCAAATTTTTTTCCTAGGATAAATTTTAACGCTGTTTCTGGTGATGAATTATTATAAAATGAAAAGTAACTCCGAGTGATATCTTTATTATGCAAGTAGATGTATTTTTCTTGAAGCAACATTATTTACATATGCTATCAAGTATAGTGTATAGATATTTATAATTAGTAAACTATTTTTAAAACAGTAGATTATTTTTTATTTCTGCGTTGTATAAGGCATGATAGGTACATATTTATTCTGCTTACAATGTCAAGTGGTAAATGTTGATACCAAAGAAAATAAATTCAGGTTCTGGAATTAGTGCCTGCATGGAATGTATCTCCACCCACCCGAGTAAGTAGGAACCTCTTGCTTTCTGCACCTTTTGATAACAGATGTAAAAGTTGGGACATCAGCAAATCAGAACAGATATTATACAGACAGGACTGTATAGTACTGTCAATGGTACACAAGCAAATAAACTACAAAAATATTGACTGTGAATTAATCAGTATACAGAGAAGAAATCAGGTCCAAAGTCTTAATTGGTTGCAAGACATTCCAGTTACGCGGCTGTTGTCAGAAGACACCTGGGAAAGAAGATAAAAAGATCATGAGTGCAGGGAATCCCATTTTGGCAATTAATGTTAACAGAATTAGGAAGTGTGATTTTTATTAAAAGAAAGCCTCAGTACTAAAGCAGTCTTCAGAAGTAAATATCAGTGGATTATGACTGAATATATAAAGTCATCACTGGCTTTCAGGTGGGAGTTTGAACAATGGGCATGATCTTCCAAACTAATGATAATACCATTATGATCCAGAACCTTTTTCAAGACTTTTTTTGCTGTTTTCCATTGTAAACAATCAGGGGTTGGTTGAAAATATTGCAAAAATGATTATTTACTCAACACATTTCTCACCTTGCTACATTTATTCTGGGAAAATTACTGTCCATCTTTTCCCATGATTTCCAAGATCAAGTTTATGAATCAAGTTTGATGGACCTAGAAAAATATGAACACAATTTTCATTTTCCTTTTATTTTTCTTTTTGACCAAAGCCCCCTTTACAATAGAACACTCACTCTAAGAGAGGCAACTGCTGAAGGTTCCTGCTAACTTTTAATCTTCAGGATATTCAAACACAATGCAAATACAATAATTACCTTGTAAACACTTCATCCCAAGTCACAACCTACATGTACAGCGGCAGCTAAGTGATGAGACGTAATGAGAAATACCTCGCTATCACATAGAAATAGAATTAACAATCAACAATTAATCATGATTGACCACTTCCCCATTAAAGCTTCTTTAGGTCACCAGAATGCTAGTTCACGTTTTAGTCAAGGCAAAAGAGTCAGGCTTATCAATCGTGTATTGATCGCCACGAGCTATTTGTAGCGCCTTAGTTTGTTGTTCTAATCGGTGCATTTTAATCCTTATTAGTATTCTGATAATTAGATGTTCTACCCTCTTAGGTCCGCTTTCTTACCCATTGCCTGTTATGTTTTTTGATAGTAGACATCCACCTTTCTGGTTGATACAACTTTACTTTTTTGGATGGTCAGCTTGGCAGATGAATAATTAACAATGTGCTCAACAGTTAATGCGTTTAGAAATATTTAATATATTTTCGTCCTTTGTGACAAACTACTAAGGTAATTTATGTTTACATATTTTATATTATTTAAATATTTAACTGTATCTAATTATTTATTTCTACGGGAATTTGTAATTGCCTTTTTTTAGAGAATAATACATGGCGCGCGTAGATGTGGAATTTCTAGGCGAGTGTTCGGCTCGACAGCTTACGAGTAAGCGCAGCGAACGAGTGAGGTATATCGAGTTGTTTAAG